GGCAAGTCAAGGGCTAGGGAAAAAAAAAAAAAACTGTATTGGACAAAGAAAATGTACCTAAAATATATTTATCTCCACATATCTTTTCATCGCCCATTCATTTGCTTCTCTTTCTACACATATCTATTGTTTGATAATACTTTAAGGCAAGATAAAGGGTGCTTTTTCTGGAACTGAGTAGATTTTTGTGTGTCAGATTTTACAAAAGTCTCATTCTCCAAAATAAAAGTAGTGTATTTACTAAAGCTTCAAAAATGGAATTATTGCAATAAAATTAAGCCACATTGTAAATTCTTGTCTTTTCTTCAAAATTCTACATTTTTTTCCAAGCGAGGTTTCATAGTTAATGCACATGTAAAACTGCAAGTCCTTCATAAATGGATCAGATGAACACTTTTATCTACTTCACAGGTTCAAGGAAGGAGAAGAAAGTGCAGGCTATGGGAGACGAAATTCTTGGATTCTATTTCTGTCCACAGTTCAGACACTGGTGAAACTACTCTATGGTCCCTTTTTTCCCCTCCCAGAAAGGGCCTCAATCTGGCCTCTATTCTTCTGTTTTGGTGTCGAGATGGCTGCAAGCACAAATGCAATCACTAGGAAGTCTAATGCTTTGATGTGAATTGCAGCCAGGTAAATAGATATTCAAATGTTAACACAACAGTGCAATTTGTGCATGTAATTATTTGTCCCCAGATAAGCTATTTTTCAAACTTAGGCTTTCTGTATCACATTTTAACTATTTTATACACATATTCACAGAACTTCATTATATTTTGGAAATTTTCAATTCATGTAAATTCAAGATGTAAGCACGATTAAAGGAAATTTTTTTATAGGAGATACTGTAGACAAGTACAATCCTAAAATTGCCAGAATGTATATTGCCCGTACGTACTGACATGTACTGACATTTCCTATTAAAACTACTGTAAACACCAAAACTGAAAATGAGACATAAGGAACTAAGCTGCTAATTAAGATATGTCTTGCTATCACAGAACATAGGTAGGTACCTACATAGGTAGGTTTGTGATTGTCATATAATATAAACTTAATATTGCAACAACAAAGGTGGGGAATCCAAAAATAGCTCCTTAATTAACATTTTTTTTATTTTGCAACATATCAACATGAAATCATGCGGTGAAATCCTTTTGATGCATCAATTACAAAGTAAGCACTATATTGCCACATAAAAAGTGAGGCAGTCTTTTAAAGGAACCAAAAGCCCTGAGTGTGATAGAAGTAACCAAGCAATTTAGCAAAACAATACAACAAACCCATAATTGGGGATTGCTGTAATAAAAAGACAACTGCAAGAACGCAAGGAGTAAGATAACTCTATTTTGTTTGAAATTTAGTTTTTAAAATGCCCACATGTGTGGTTCTGGATGTACCTGCTCGGTCTCTTACACATTTGGTGTTGTAGATAGAATATGTATTATGTTTATTTAGATGAGTTTCCAAAAAAGCCACAGGGAAGGCACCAGCAAAAGCAGCTAAGCATTCTCCTAGTGCTGACCGCTGCCTGCAAATTGAGAAATTCTCAGTGTTATTTATATATCTTTGGTTAAATATATCCAGAATTAGTTCAATGTCATTATTTTTACTATTACTATAAACTGTGGTCTTCTGAAAGAAAGAATCCACTACATTATTATAACTGCATTATTATAACTGCTAACACAGCAACAGAAAAACCAATGTAATAGATATCAAAATAAAGCAAACTTCCACTATTACAAGAAAATGTTAAGATATAAAATGTCAAATGTTTTCTACTTATTTGCCAAGAGCTACAGAACAGCACACAAGAAAAACTTAACACCAGTATCATATTAACACCACTACCATTTTCCATTCAATTTCAGATAATCCTGACTCCATATACTCTTCTACTAAGAAAGTGTTATTGAACAGACACATAGATCAAGAGGCCAAAAGTTATTATCATCACATCTAAATGATAACAGTAGAGCGTTTCCTTTTCATGCAATTTGACAATAACTGTATCCTGGGCTCCTGAAAGCCCAAGTCTATATCTAGCAATAATACTGTTGTTATTTATTTCTTAGGAATTATGCTCACATTAGTCTACTAAACTTTCCTCTGTACTCTCACATTTTCAAGTGATCAATGTTTACTTGACAAATTTACTTGGCAATTCAAATTCAGTTAAAAATAGCAAACAGCCTGCCTCTAATACATAGGATTTGTGACCAATCTAATAGACTTCCTTTTCCCAACCACACAGCTTGATTCCATCTGCTCTGAAAGAAAATCTATTAGTATACATTGTCTGTGACATGCCTACCCTCAACCTCAGTTGTTTGATCAAAAAATCTTGTTATTAATCCAATTCTGGTAACAAATACAGTAAAATCTCTATTATCCAGCATGAGTGAGGAATGGCAGGTGCTGTTAATGTAAAAATGCCGGTTATCTAAAAATACTGGAGCTGGAGAGGGGGGCTTGCATGCAGCGGCAATAGGGTGGAGTGGTGCATGGTGGAGGTGGGGGCAGGGATTGCACACGGCTTGCAAGCGGCAGCTGGGCAGGGTGGTAGATGCTGGCAACATGGCGGCAGTGTGAGGTGGTTGTATGTGGTGGCGGCGCAGAGTGGTGGATGGCGGCAGCATAGCAGCAGCCGTGCAGTGCCAATTATCAGAATATACCAGGTAGTAAAATAACGGAAAAAAGGGATTTTACTGTACTGCCATTGAATTCCTTTTCTATGACTCCAGTCTCATAGCTATGTCCTTGCTTATTCCTTCTCCTTATTCTTTATTAATGAATAAGAATGAAAAGAACATGAATTTCACATTAAAATGTTATATGATTTCTATGTGTATTAATATTTGTGGGCTATTGTAGATGAAAGGAACAACTTTCATATTTGGTATATAAAAGCGGTAAACTATTCCATATAAGTCAAATATATAAAAAAATCCAACTTGGGAAATATTAACATAAAAAGTGCAAATATTTTTTTCCTAACTGGATAGTAATTATATTAATTCTATTTGCAGCTGCCTGTGGTATGTTGTGAACATAAAATTAGATATCAATGTTTCGAGGACAGCGACCATTCTTAGTGAAAGGAGATTTGCATAACCACTTTAAGTTGCAAATGATTCCCCTTGTATTGGCTTATAATGTCCCATTTTCATGAGGGATTTACAGGCTACTAAAGAATAACCTGTCAGCATGCAAAAGCCCTTTGCCAAAGCTCAATAATTAGTAGAATTAAGAAATAAGTGTACAAAGTTCATGTATGTTTCCACCAAAGAAATCATCTTTTTTTGCTTGGTGGGTGGGGGGAGGGAGGTGGGGGCAGAAGGGGAAGGAAGGAACATTAGAAAAAATGGTATACAAGTAGGTGTATGTAGGAAGCTTGCAATTATGTGAATGTTTCTTCCTCTTACCGCTCCACATAGATGCTCTTGCTAGTTCCAAGAGCATATAAACTGGCCAATATTCTGTAACAGGATACTTGAACATCTTCCACTAAAGAAAAGGAGGAGGAAAAAAAAAGAGAATTTTGAATGCTCTTCATTTTGGTAGGCTTAAAATGCATAAGCAATCTCATTATATTTGACTTGATAATCTGTGCAGAAATTAGTTTAAATTACCAAATATCATCCATAGTTATTACACAGTAACTGCCATAGCTTGTAATGTAAAACTTCCTTTTAATGTGATAAGCATTATATACTGAGAATAGTATCATATCTAATATGTCATTAGTGCTCTAATTTTCTGTTATTAATGGCCCACCATCCTTGTGAGGATAATGCATAGTTACATAAACTGAGAATTAGTTAATTAAATAACCTGAGCACTACATTTTAGTGAATCTTCTCTGATTGCTTGCAGGGCTTAAATAGCAGGGAATTCTCAAGGCAAATTGCTAAAGTGTTAAAATAAGTAAAAGGAAAATGTATTACAGAACTAATCCATTTAAGATTCCATTTTTGCTTTGTAAAGTACATTACAATAGAAAGATACTCCTGTTCAAGAGATGTTTTAATTCTTCACATACTTAATGAAATTATCTCCATTTAAGACACAGCTATAAGTTTATAGCAGCTAAATGATTTACTGATCAGTCAGACAAAGAGAATAAAAGAATGAGCAGACTTTTTGATTCCTACAAGTTCTTTTCTTTACACCATGCTTTTGCTTTAGAAACAACCAATGGCCAGTTTTTCATACGGGAGAAATGATCAAACCTCTTTCTTTTTTTAATTTTAAACATTAAAAGTTGGGATTTTCCAATTTGTGGTTGTAAGTACCTGGATTGCTCATTTTCAGGAAAAAAAAACCTTTAGTTTATCCTACATCCAAAAAATAACAACATTCCAACTTTCTCTAAAGTTTTACTACATTTTTTCCAGTTCTCTTCTCCCCTCTCATACCCCCTTTCGCCTCCCCAGATGATAGCAATGAAACATGATAGAATTCCATTCTTTCAATCTAAAATTAAAGTGCTAGGGCAACCACCTCTGGTACAGACAGGTGTTACATTTAGATTGACCTAACCAGGGTTAGGTTGATCTAAATGCTCAGCTGTGCAGAGGGCTTAAATTGCTCAAAAAATGGTGTGCCCAATCTAAGTTGATGCACCTAAGTCAGACAGAAACTGCATTGATTTGGTGCACTCAGAGATTGAGACTGCATTCACCTGTTCTAATAAAGGGTTAACCCAATTTTGTGAACACTTGTACAAGTTTGGAGTGCAGCCTCTGAGTTGGGAAAGCCCAGCCACTTGCCCCAGCCATGAGGCTGCATTATTTCCACCCCACCCACCCTGACCGGAATATTTTTAACCCCCCACACCTTCCCTTCCATACCAGACCTCCTCCCTACCATGGACAACCCACCACCCCGCTGCCTCTGCCTCCAGTCCCACCAACTTCTCTCTTGGATCACAGACTGGGTGCAGCAAATGACTGTACACACCCTTAGTGTCAGTGCCTGTTATTTGTTCCCCACCCTATGGGTCTGATATGTGGAGAATGTCTGAGCTTCCAGCATAAACTGGCTTCATTTTTATCAAACTCAGTCCCCAGAGTCAGTCAACAAACTGGCTATCACAATGATGGGTATTATTATTAAAAACATGATGTGAAGAGAAGTGTAGGTATGCAACAGAAATAACCCATTCCAATGACATATCATTGGTTCGTTTAAACTATGGCCATATTCTCAACCAGTTTATACTCTTACAGGGCTCATGCTAACTGAAGATTGAGTTTAAGGGTATGCCATATTTCCCCAGCTTCTTGGCTTACGATGATATTCTAAGCTACTGCTCCCCCCCATACTTTACAACAAGAAACAATGTAGTATGAGCAAGGGTTTACAACCTAAGCACATTTACATTTGGCAATAAAAGTTCAACCTTCAGAAAACAGTTTTTCACATAGTTGGAAAATGCAAAGAGCACAGACCTTGAGAGTTTTTGTTTATTTGTTTGTTGTTTTTTTACCAGGTCCACTGCTACTGAAAGACTTATACAAAACTTCTTCCAATCTAGGTTTGTGAAAGCAGGATGACAAAACTGGCCAACAGAATCCCTACAGAGATTCTAAGACATGCAGAATTGAAATACTTTGTGAATTGTAAGGCTACAAATAGATGTTGCTGAAAGTAGCAGATCAGCTGTGCCACAATGTGTTATGGCACAAATGATCTGCTGCACTGGGCAAAACATGTCATCCCTTGTTCCACCCTTGATGGTGTAGGACAAAGGACAATATGATCTCCCTTCTTTCCCATGGGTCTGGCTGAGTGGGAAAGCATGTTTGTTTGGCATAGGTTTGGCTTTGCAGAGAAAGTGGGGTTTTCCCTGCCAAGTCAGACAGAGGTAATACATACCTGCCACAACACAGAGGCAGAGTCTCTTACCACCTTTTGTTGTGCCACTGCTTTTTCTTTCATGTGACATGACAAAGAGTATTGCTGTCTGTTTGCTCAGTGTTTGTGCTGCCATAAAAAAAAAAAAAAAAAAAAAAA